TTCTTCTTCATCGACCCCGCTATACTCGATGATCCTCGCCTGGGTATTTATCTGTCTCCTTTTTGTTTTTATCTGTCTCCTTTTTATTTTTATCTGTCTCCTTTTTGTTTTTGTCTGTCTCCTTTTTGTTTTTATCTGTCTCCTTTTTGTTTTTATTTATCTTCTTCTTTTCTTTTTGTTTGTTTATTTGTTTGTTTATTTATTTGTGTTTTTGTTTATGTGTCTCCTTTTCGTCTTGCGTTTGTCTGTCTCCTTTCTCTTTCATGCTGATCTGCTGGTTCTCTATTAGCAGCAGCAGCAGCAGCAGCAGCAGCAACAGGAATAGCAGCAGCAGCAGCAACAACAGGAATAGCAGCAGCAGCAGCAACAGCATTGGTGACTGTTTCTATGTGCATTTGGTGTTATCGCTAGTGCTGCTGCCGTTTCTGTTGCTGCTGCTGTTGCTGCTGCTGTTGCTGCTGCTATTGCTGCTGCTGTTGCTGTTGCTGCTGCTGCCTTTGCTGCAGATCAGATGCGGAATATAACTTTGTCTTATATCTTCTTTGAATCCTCGTCAGAAATACCCGAGGAGTACAGACACCTCGCTATAGGTAGCTGCTGTTGCTGCTGCTGCTGCTGTTGCTGCTGTTGCTGATTGCTGCTACTTCGTCTGGTGCAGCTCCCCTGGCTGGTGTTGCTGCTGCGGGTGCTGCACAGGAGTTGCTTCCGCCGTTGCTGCTGCTGCTGCTGCTTTTCTAATGCTGCTACAACTTTTGCTGCTGCTGCATGCTGGCCTATGGAGAGGGTTAAAGCTGCCTTTATTTGTCTTTCTATTTGTTGCTGTTGCTGCTGCTGTTGCTGCTTCTGTTGCTGCTGCAGCAAAACCCGCGCCGAACGCAGCAGATGTTGCTGCTGTCTGAAGCAGCAGTAGCTGCTGCTGCTGCTGAACAACAGAGACATATCGACCAGCAGCAGCAGCAGCAACAACAACAAATGTAGCACAGACATCAGAAGTAGTAGTACTACTACTAGCAGCAGCACCCGCAGCAGCAGCAGCAGCAGTGGTGGGTAGACCCCACCGCAACTGAGGAGCTTTGCTGCTTCTTACTCAAGTAGTGGCTGCAGCAGCAGCAGCTGCTGCTGCTGCTTTTGCTGCTGCTGCCGTTGCTAGAGCAGCTGCAGCAGCAGCGCGTTTTAAACAGCTGCAGCTGCACTTGCTGCTGCAGCAAGCAGCAGGTGCAGCAGCAGCAAACCCAGTATTACAATGAGAGGTAAAGAAAGAACATAGACACAAAAGAAGAACGGAGGCATTTCCTGCTGTTGCTGCTACTGCTGCTGCTGCTGCTACAAGCAACACTATTGGTGCTGCTGCTGCCGCTACAACTGCATACGCTGCTGACTGTCTCTAAAGAGCAGCACTAAAGTCTTTTCTTCACTGCTACAAACTGTTTCTGCTGCTGCTGCGGCAAATTCAACAGCGACTGCTGCTGTTGCTGCTGCTGCTGCAGTTCCGCAAAGCGCAGCAACAACAGCTACTGCTGCTGCTGCCTGCTGCTGCAGCAGCAGCAGGAGACGAGTTTTATGAAGTCGCTGCTCCTTCAGCACCTGCAGCAGCTGCAGTGCTGTCCGAGGGAACTGCAGCAAGAGCAGCAGCAGCAAGAGGAGCAGCAGCAGCAAGAGGAGGAGCAGCAGCAGGCTGCTGCCCCCCGGGTTTCCCCTCTATGGCCCCAAGAGGCGCTGCATCACCTGCTGCAGTAGGTGCTGCTGCTACTGCTGCAGCAGTTGCTGCTGCTACTGCTGCAGCAGGTACTGCTGCAACTTCTGCAGCAGGTGCCGCTGCTGCATCAAGCGCTGTTGCAGCAGGTGCTGCTGCAGCAGGTGCAGCAGGTGCTGCTGCAGCAGGTGAGGACGCAAACGAAGCAACAGGAATTGCTGAAGCGGCATCTGCCGTTGCAGCTGTTGTTGCTGCTGTTGCTGCTGTTGTTGCTGCTGTTGCTGCTGCATGCTCTGCTGCTGCTATCGATACAAGTGTTTTATCTCCTTCTGCTGCTTCTGTCTTGCCTGCTGCTGCTGCATCAGCTGCGGTTGCTGCCGCTGCTGCAGTTGCTGCTGCTGCCGTTGCTGCTGCTGCGGCCTGTTCTCCTGGCTTTGCGTCTCCGTTCGCGGTCTGCCCTCCTGCTGCTGCTGTTGTTGCTGCAGTTGCTGCTGCTGCTGTTGCAGCAACAGCAGGGCTAGAAGGTGCAGTTCCTTGCGGCGTACCTGCTGCAGGCGTTGCTGCTGCTGCTGCTGCTGCTGCTGCTGTGGCTGATTTGTCAGCAGCAGCAGCAGGAACAGCCAGCGGCAGCAAAGGCATTTGCTGGTGCTGCTGCTGCCCCAGCTGTCTTGCTGTCTCTCTTATCTGTGAAGCAACGAGACGAGCGCTGCGGGCCGTACGACGTGAGGGGCCCCCCCCTTGTTGCAGCAGCGCCTGCAGCAGCAGCAGCAGAAGCAGCACCAGCAGCAGCATAGTCATAACAGCAGCACCAGTAGTAGTAACAGCATCAGCAGTAGAAGCAGCAGCACCAGAAGCAAAAGCAGCAGAGAGACAACCGACAGCTGCAAAACCGCTGAAGAGACATTTCGCTGCACTCTCCTGCAGCAGCAACAGCAGCAGAAACCGCAGCAGCAGCAGCAGCAACAGCAGCAGCAGCAGCAGCTTGCCTGAACGGTAAGCAGCAGCGCGTCTTCAGTGTCTGGTATGGACTCCCAAACCGCCCTCGTGCTGTTCCCTACCCGCCGAATCACCTGAACAAAAAAAGGGTTTAGGGTTTAGGGTTTAGGGTTTAGAGGGAAGGCACCACTACTAGGGTTTAGGGTTTAGGGTTTGCGCGCTGGCGCTAGGGTTTACTAAGTAGCCGTTCCTACAGCACAAGGAGACTACAATGAGGGTTTAGGGTTTAGGGTTTAGGGTGAAGATTAGCGAATGTTTGGGGTTTAGGGTTTTAGTATTTGTGTGTATATTTTAGTGTTTAGGGTTTATAGATATTTTTGAGGGTTTAGGGTTTATGCATGCAGCACAACAAGCGCGGGTGTATATGTCCAACTTGCACTTTAACATCAAACCAGTTTAGGGTTTAGGGTTTAGGGTTTAGGGTTTAGGGTTTAGGGTTTAGGACCTTCTTCCACTTCCTTGGCTGCCCAGGAATAAGAGTAAGTGTTGAAAATCTTTTTATTGACCCCGTTGCTAAGCGTAATTCTTCTGTTGGATGGGGGGCCCCCAGAGGGGCCCCCGTGGGGGCCTCAGGGGCCCCTGGGGCGGCCCCCTGGGGGCCCCCAGCCTGCAGCCCCTCTGCTGCTGCACGCTCTGCTGCAACCTG